CCCTCCATGCCACCTTACGCACGGCTGCTCTGCTCGATTCCTAAACGAAGCAGGGAGACCGAGTCCAGGTGGTCCGGCGATCGTGACGCTGGGCACACGCCGGCACGGCCCGAGCTCCGAGCCGGCGTCGCACCTGTTTCGGGCCGACGTCGCCGGAGCAGCTTCGCATCTTTCACGAACTTTCGATGTCTTATTCCCGTTTTCTCTTTTTTCTTTTGTAAGCAGCCAAAGTCCAGCCGGAGATTAAAAGCGAAGCGAGATCGTGTTACTCGCGAGCAGGATCCGATGGGTCGTCGACTTCCTTCTTGTGCCACGGCGCCGCGACGCTGGACGCCCGTCCAACGGTCTCTTATAATTGCCTCCTCCAAGTGGCTCGCGCCGACTCCCGTCCTTTCTCTTTCGCAATTCTGTACTTTTGCGCTTTCGTGGGATCAACCCGAGCGCCCGGCAAGAAAATGACAAAGAGGAAAGGAATGGCCCGTCGATTTGCTGGAATTCGCAACTGGTTTGCACACTGGCCATTATTGCCTTCGCTCTACGTTAGGCGAGGTCGAGGTTCCTTTAGCCGGCGGCAGAAATTGTCTGGGAGTCATTAAGGATGACTTCGCTCGAGTCTTCGAGTGTAGCAAAAAGTGAGACGTCGTCCGACTGAGGCCCAAGAGAAGAAGGGGCCTCTTTCTCGCGCGGAAGTAAATAGACGGAGAGATAGAAACGAAATAGCGAGCGAGCGTATTGGGGAAGGTTTAATCACGCTAAGTAACTGCGAGCTGCTTGTGTTTTGCCCCACCACCCCCCGGGGAGGTTATTCGGTGGAAGCAGGAAGACCGAGAGTTTGATATCGACCCACCCTTTCGCCTCCCCATCCCCCAGAGTCCATGAGAAGCCACGTTAACCAGCCTTCCCAACTCCCCCCGACCTCCGCCGAGTAGCACCGACCTTTCCCGACCTTTCCCGAGCTCCCCCTCCGACTCCCTCGTGCTCCGCGGTTATTTATCGCGACAGCGACCCCCGTGGTGATCGAGGGTGAAAGCACCGCGCACGAATGGCCAGAGACGAATGCGCTCGTTATCACGTATGCAGCCAATAACTACGCCAGCAGTTTCGCGATTCTACCAGCGGCGTCTTTGCTTCCTCGGGATCTGCGAGTCCCCCGCCGCCCGGCGTCTTCCTACTTTCCTCATCGCGAATCGCGGAAGGACGCGCCGCTTCTGACTCGCGTTGGTCAAGTAGGTCGGCCGCTCCATGCCACCGACGACCATCGCCGAAAGATCGATATTCAACATTATATTCGGGCGAGCCAGCCTGCCGACTACAGTTTCGCCGATCACGAGGATCAACGAGTGCGCGCTAGAATGTTCCTCCGCCTAATGAAAATCCGAACTGAGCAGCCTCAGGGACCTCGAGAACTTGGGACCCGCGTGCAGGTATTCCTCGTGCAGGAGGGAAATACCTCGATACCTTAAGTGGATCTCTAGAAGCTTCGGCCTTGACCCGACGACTCAACAGGTATCTCCTTTGCATTCGGTAATAAGTGAATCTGCGGTACCCATCAAAGAGCTTCTTAGGGAAGGAAGAAAAAGAATCGTAGAGGATTTCGAGGAATAGGCCGAGCCAGAGGGGTGTAGCAGCTCGTCGTGTCGGTAGCGCCGGATGCCATCTTTATCGACCTGTCTAATTCCGCCTAATGCGTGATCCCTCGTATTTCGTCCGCTCGGGAACTACCGGACCGCTTCTTGGGAAAATAGCCCTGGCGACTGTCGACGAAACTATTCCAAAAGTGAATTCCCATCGCGCAACGATTTATCCTCGGGCGCCGATGACTCGCAGGAATTTCAACAATTAATCGCACGCGATTCCTTGTCAATGCACTCGGGATTGGCAACGGCTCGGAAACGAATCTCTGGCAGAATACGAGTACACCTCTTTAGCCAAGGAGACTAATTTAAGACAAGTTCAAATTATTCAAATGAAAAGTGAGCAGACTGCACGGACATAAAAGAGGGTAGGGGGGAATTTTATTCGAAATATCCGAGACGCGTGAGAAATATTTAATCTACAAGTCGCAAGGATCTCAACGAAGAAATATAATTAATTGGACTCGATGGCATCGTTGGTCCATCTGTGATTCGCGGCCTGAACGACCGGGGACCCCACAATCCCCCTGCCTGCCGCTGGCACAGTGGCCGAAACTAATATGACGATGCGCAGGACGCAGAGTATGGTTTATCGAAAATCGAGTTCCACGTTTCAATTAGGAATTTCGTCTTATCGCAGCATCTTCCCATCGTCCAGCTCCCGCAGCGAAGAAGCGCGACTGGCATCGTTCCCGCGCAGCTGCGAGTAATCGGCAAGTCGATCGTCCAAGAAACTCAAAGGCACAAGCGGAGCGACCCTCCTGCTGGATTTGGCATTAAATCTATTGAGCTCTTATTCCCAATCGGCTTCCAGCCTGTCGTCGTCATCACTGAGCTCCAGCCTGGCATCCGGATGCCGGAGCGCCGGAGTGGTTGGCTCAATCGTTTCCATAGAAACCAGCTCGACTCGCAGCACTTCCTCTCGTGGGGCTATCTCGGCGAGAAGCACGAGGGAGCCAAGGAGGGAGGCCAATACGAATATCTAGAGAGTGAGAGAGAAGACTGGG